TATATCCTAAAGTTAATTAAAAAAGCAATAATTATTTAATTATTAATTTGGAATATATTAATAATAATAATAATACATACTAAAATCATAATAATTGCTTAATTATGTATTGAGTTAAATTGAAATTTTTGACATTCAAAGATTGCCTTTAATCTAAATTAATTTATATGCCTGTGCGCTTTATGTAAATGCTATGAAATCTTTTATAACCTCTGGACTTGAAAGCAAAGTTACTAAATCTGATGGCCTGGTACTTTGCAGGGGTAAAAGCTCATCTTTTGCCTTCTTGCTCTCGTAACTTGAGTTTTTTGCCCTGAGGGCAGCTCTGCCCCTAAGACTTTATCCGCTAAACGATTTTCTTTGGATCCTCTTTGTGCCGAGGTGCTCGGCTTGGGCGCACTTGCTCTCAAGCACATCCACCACCCAGTATTCACCATCCACAAACCGACTCAAAACCCCTTTAGCAGGACCCACTTCCAACTCCCCAACTCAGACACAAATAAACGATAAAAGCGCAGTCGTTTGCCAACAACAGTAACAATCAGTGGCGAGAGGAGGCCGCCCACTCAGCCCACTTAAACAGGACTCCTCCTTCTTACACTCAAAACAATGGGCATACTAGAAGAGGCTGCAAAGTAGCTGAAAAAAAGCCCTACACTCAGTATTTAAATTCAATCAAACTTGTGGGTTAAGTTAAGATTTTTATAATAATTGAGGAAAAAACATTTGTTTCTTTGAGGTATTTTTGATAAATAAAGGTGAAAAAGCGCTTTGGTATATCATTTTGTGAGTGTTCTAGCCACCTAAACCAAACCAGCAACTCACACTGGCAAATTCGGAGGCCAGGAACGTCTGTCGCTCCGACCCACTCGCCATCTGCCCAACTCGCTGTTGTTCCGTCGCACTCGCTCGCCAGCTGTTCGTTCGTTGTTTCGTTCCGTTCGCCGTTCGGTTCGCCCGCTCGTTGGTTGCGTTCGACAAACGCGGGAGTTGACTGGGCGCCCAGAATTCACAGTAAGCAACCTTGCGGAAAATATCATAATGGAAAACCCGCTCGAGAGAGAAAGAGAAAGAGAGTGAGAGAGAGAGCCTTTTATAGAGGGGTGGAGAAAGCGGAGAGAAAGCGAGAGCTAAAGTTGAAAGTTAAATTGAATTGAGGTGGGCCAAGTGTGGCCTGGAGGGTAAAATACAGAGTATAGGGTTGAAGGCCCCTGGGGTCCCTTCGGGTGGTTTGTAACCGGCGAGAGGTGGCGGGAATGAATTTGTTGGGCCATCAAAATGACTTTCAGCATGTGGAAGCCGCTGCTTAGCATGTTTCCTGACAGGCCACGTGCGGCAGGAGGCGAAAGAGAGAGATGCTTAGACAAAGACAGGTATATTCGGCGAGTGAGACAGCTAACGAGTTGGTCCTGCGCTGTCTCGTTCACTACAATGCTCTACTGTGAAAATGAGGCGCAAATTTTGTGGCCGAGCAAACAGAACAGGAATAAAAGGAAGAAGGTTCAACAAATGGTTGCCAACCAAAAACCGAAACCCCCAAAAAATAACAGACCACCCCGCATACTATTTAGTAATGATATGGGAGCAGTGGCGGAATGGTGTAGTGGTTAGTATTTTGTGGCATATTTGGAAAGGTTTTTGAGATCTAATCTTTCTACAATTTTTTTCTTAAATAATTGTTTTAGGTAAAAATAATCACAATGTAATAAATAAAGAATATAATGCAATTCATAAATACAACCTATTACCTTTTAATAATAAAACCTTTTAATATTAATTAAATTTCACTTAATTAATTCCTGACATGCTTCAACAAACTTTACATTTTATTTCTACAATTGCTGCTTAATTTAAACATTCGCCCATCTGTTAGGGCTCTGTTAACATAATTTTCCCCTGGGCTTCTGTAATTTCCTGGTGGTTTGTGGACTTTAACGGGTATCGGGTATCTCCTAGTCCAGCTCTTTCAACTGGGATCTCAGCACGGAATAGCAAGTGAAATCCATAAAGCGTAAACATACACACACGCTGCTTTTCCATTTTCACCCCCTTTTCCACTGGCTATCTCCCTCTCACACTTCGGGATGCTCGAAAATTATGTCAACGAGTTCTGTTGATTTTCCCCATTTCGTTTGGCTTTTATTTCTGCCCACCTTCTCGTCCTTTCCCCGCCTCGTTTTTCTTTTTTTTTTTTTTTTGCTCCTTTTTGTTGTTTGTCAGCCCGGCTTTTACCCATTTTCCTCGACCGTAGGACCGGCGCTGGTTAATTACATTTTACAAAATTTGCTGTCAAGCAGTTAAGTCGGGTTAAGTCGAGCAAACGTCGACTGCGGCAGAACGGCATTTTCTGCTTTCCCTGCTGTTGGTAATTTAATATTCGATTTTCGTAATTTTTATGCGCTGACCTTTTTGCAATTGTGGAATTTTCCTTTTTAATTATTTATGTGCGGTTGTTCGGTTTTAGGGCTGCCAGTGGGGTCTCTTTTGTAAAGGGGGCGTGTCATCGTTTTTGTGTCCTCCGTTGTGCTCTGCATCCGCAGATTAAAAGGAAAATCGTTTTGTATTTAATTATGCAGTCAGGTGATGGTAATTGGGGATTGTAATTCGGAATGTTCTCTGTCCGAGAGTGGGCGGCAATGTTTGCATAATGTTTACACGCCGTGCGAGTGGGTGTGTGGATTTCGTACTCTCTGTTGACCATTTTATAGAGTAGCCACCGTACATACCCATTATGTATGTACCGTACACTCACTGGTACATAAGTAAATCCCACATTTTGGTTAACTTTCCGTGTGTTTGGCGAGTGGAGAATTCAGCAAAAATATTTTTAAAAGCTCAAGTCAGAGCAGGCAAACACAGACGTAGAAAAAAATTGCATGCCGCCCAGGGACAGGGACAAAGCGAGATGGAAAGGCGTTTCAGGACGAGAAAATGGAAATGGAGCGGAGAAAAGGGAAGGGTGAACGAGAAGGACCCTCGAACGTAAGGGGAAAACAAAAGAATATTCGACACTCTATTATTATGAAAAATAAAAACAATTTCTGGTTTTATTACATTGAATATTATTAAACCATAGGGATTAAGTAGATTAAAGGCAAGAATTTATTTGTGTAAAGTTAGTATTAAACTTTGTTTTAATTTTATTTAAAAACAAAATTACTTAATTGATATCATTTAACAGGATCTTCTTTTAGGGTATAAAGAGCTTCCCTTCCTCACGCAAAGACAACCCAGCAAAAAAGGAAAATTGTGGCGCAAAATGTTACGCTTGCATCGAAATGGAGGAGAATTTGCGAAAGGGGGAGGCACAACGGGAAAACTGAGGATTGGGCTTTTCGCAAAAGGGAGCCGCGGAGGAAGTGAGGAGCCGGGGGAAAGCGAACATGTTGGCTCCTACAATGACAGCAGCCTGCAACAGCCGGCGAAGGACGTTGGTTGGTAAAGGGGCTGGCACGGGGTGCAGAGTGGGCGAAATGATGGCAAAGGCATTAAGCTGCGCCCACACACACACACACACTCACACAAACACAGGCAAACAACGAGGGACATTATAGTCAGAAGGCGAAGGATGCGTTTTCCATGGAATACTTACACACACTCACAAAACAGGACGACATACTTTCGCACAGAAGAAGAAGATGGAAAACTTGGCGCGACTTTCGACTACGTGAAGCTGTAAGCTCCAAAAGCGAAGAAATAGTCACACATACACATACAATCACGTGCATAAAGGACATATATCCTCCACACAAGCGCACTCACACACACACTCACACAAGCGGAGAGGAAAAATGGCAACATAACTGTAGTGAAAATGTCAAGAGAGAAAAGATATTAAAACGTATTTGACTTCTGTGAGTTTTGGATGATGCGATGGGCCGAGGGATGTGGGGAGGTGGGAAGTGGGTTGTAGGGTGGTAGGGTGGCACAATGAAAAATATATAAAGAAGCCGCCACTCACACAAGCACATCCGCCCAAACACACACACACACTCACACAAGCGAGCTTATGACAAAAATAATAAAAATGGCTCAAGAAAAGAAAATGGCAAAAACGAACTGAAATAAAAAAACATCAGGGCACAAAAAAAAAATAGGAAAAAAGTAAAAAAGCAAGAGAGAAAATACAAGTATAAAAATGAATTTTAGATGACAGGCAAAGCAGCTTGCTGGAGGGAGAAAAAGCTGGGGGGTTTGGGCAAGGTTTGTCTTTGCAGTTAAGCAGACAAGTAAATGTTGTCCTTGTTGTTGTCCCTACACCACCCACATCCCCGCCTTCAACGGGGGGCGTGGCTGAGGGGAGAAAAAAAAGAAAACCAGAGAAGGAAAAATTGTGGAAAAGTTTTATGGGCAACAGCAGCAAAAATTGCAATATAGCCAAGGAGAAAGAGGGGTCTGTGCTCTTGATGGCTGTGGAAAAGAGGATGCGGCACTGACAAGGATAAAACATCAGAGATGGAATAAGAAAGGGAGCCGAGATGAAGAACTAAAAAGGAAAAATGGATGGGTAACCAATTTAAAGAGCAAAATGCCCTATAGGAGAGACTGAACTAAATTCGAAAATAAGTTTTAAAAAAGAAATACGACATACCAATTACGCTTTATCCCCATATACTGTTACACAAGGTAACAATAAGTACTGAAATTACTAAACATAAAAATAAAAAAGAGATGACAAAATTCAAATCGGTTTTGAATATAAAAAGAAAAGTAAAATCATGGGTAAACAACAACTTTTCCACTTTCTGTCAAACAATTTCCCAAAATAAAACATTCGTCTAATTTGCTATAATATTTCGCCAGACAGTTCCCAAAGGAAAAACTGTCAGCATATGTTTCACAGGACTTACTGAATACCCCAAAGACGAATCCACAAAGCCCCAAAACGAAAACAGCGAAAAGGGCGAGAGACAAGGCATAAAAAATAAATGAATAACATAAAAATAAATCATACGCCCCATCGGCCGCCCAGTAAAAAGTGAGCCAATACCGTAACCATTACCCTCGCTACAAAATCACACTCCCCCATCCCAAAGGGAAGTCCTCCCCCCATTTTCATGGCGCTAATAAATGCTTATCGAAGACGCATAAAGCGAGTAAATTCGCAGCCATTAAACGGGCATAAAACTCGATGCCCGGCCGAAACGAAATTGTGGGGCCGACAAATCAAAGTACAAGCCTCAGAGCCTCGGCTCCCCACTTGCCTCTCTCCCTCCCTCGTTCGCCCCCTTTTCCCCCACTTTCTTGCCATGAAATAAAACCAGGCAACAATGAAACCCAAAGCGGCTCCCAGGCGATTTCGATGCGGGCATTCGTCGGTCGAACCAAGGAATTGGCCACCCACAAAGTGGAGAACCCAAACCCAAGCCCCGGGAGAACCTTCCTTTAACCCCCTCCCTCGTCACCTCCTGCACCCCATTTGCACCCCCCACTTCCAGCCAACACTCGCTATATAACCATCTTACCCAACGTTGACAGCATACAAAGTAACTTAAATCGAAACAATAAAGCGGCAACTTTGTTCCAAGAAAAAATGCAAAAGAAAGCAAAATGAACACAGAAAAAACGTGAAAGAAAGCTCGGAAAAGAGGAAAAGAAGTATGGGAACCCGGAAAAATCGAACAAGGATATACTCTTTTATAGTATGTAAGTAGTGGCTTGAATTGCCAAGAATTTTAGTTATTGTTTTTATCCTAGTAACTTAAAATTTTAAAATTATTATAAAATAACAATTAAAATATGTAAGTCAAATTACGGTGTGCCTAAAAGAAAGTAACAAATAAATTAAGTACTTTAGAATTTAGGCTTAATAGCAAATATCAATAACATGACAATTTTATTAAAACAAGACACCATTGTGTTTTTTATATGGAATCAATTACGCAAAACTAAAAATGACAAAGCCAATATCAATTTAGGGTATTCAAATACAATAAAACATCACTGTTTAAACTTCCGACCGAAATTCCCTTACCAAGCGTGGGTATTATTACAAAAAACGTAAGAAAAGTCGTGAAGGAAAGTTCCCAAAGAAATTGAGCTGGAGGGAAGAGAGGAGGACGAAAGCGAGGGGCCAAAAAAGAAATGTAGAAAAGCGCAAATAAATGAATGAATAAAAGCGCCAAGGATAGCAAGGATACCATACAGGCAAAGGACGTGGGGGTAGTCGGGTGAAGGCAAAGGAACAGAGTTCCACAAAGAAATTACAAAATGTATGCAACAAAAAAATAAAAAAAACCGTGGAAGTGAAGAGTGGGAAATATGGGTTGGGGAGGTGCAGCAACGCTGGAAAAATATTAATAAATCCGCGCTGCTGTGGGACACGGATACCTTCTCGCTCCCCTTTTCAATCTCCTACCTATTTTCCTTTTGCCAACGTACCACGCGGCGTATGAGCAATACGTGGAGAGAGACATTCATTGCTGCTACCAGTCAATTCAGCCAAAACAAATAAATAAGAATAAAACAATTTGTATAAAAAAAACACAAGTTTTTTAAGAACTTAAAGCTTTTAATAATTTTATTTTTTATATATATCGTTTAAAATAAAACTCATATTTTTACATAGCGGTAAAATTTTCTCTTAATTTGGGATGGACTTTTAAATTGAAATTAAATAATGAAAAAATTTGAACACTTGTCTTGAGGTTTATTATTTACCTGTCATTTATTTATTTTAATAATACCACCCATTTTATAGCGTTCTGAAAGTTATGCCAATCTCATGAAATAACATTCTCCAGCAGTTACATCCATTAAGTAATCTAATTTTCGTTTGTCCTTTGAACTTTCCAAAATAATTATAATCCCTGATTCTTCTCAAATTGTGGTAACTCCCTAGTCTCTGTAGTTTACAATCAATTTATTAAGATGTTTATCCCCCAATTGCTCTCAACTAATCATCATCCGCTTGTCCGCCCCTTAACACACCGCCCACATACCGCAACGCCCACCATGCCACGCCCCCCGACCTCTGCAGTCCACAACGACCCTTTGGAAACCGCAGCTCCCCGGACGGAGTTGCCACTCGAGCGACCACTAATCATAACGATAACACCTAATCAACCGCAACTCGGCGGGCCATCCAGCGATTCGGAATTCGTAAACCGGACGGAATCCGGAATCCCAATCGAAATCCGTAACCGAATCCAGGGGCCAACCCCCTCACCCCCTCATCCCCTCCTTCGTTGCCCACAAATCGAAGCCGAAAAAGGTTTCGGGCTAAATTAAATGAAACGTTGATAAGGCGCAAAAGGGCGCACTAAACGATTAAATCGACTGAGCGAGCAAATGAGAGAGTGTGGCTTTCCCTGCCACCCATTCGAGGTCACCCCCTGGGCGGGTGCTTGCCACCCAGCCAGCCACCCACTCGGAACAGCTACTGCCACTGACAACTGACCCGTGGACCTGACAGAGGGCGGACGTGCCCGACTGACTTTCGGCACAAGTGCGCAGCGATGGCGAAAAGTGAATTTTCCGCTCGGCGCTTGCTTGGCTCCCGTTTGTCGGCTGCGGGGATTTTCGTGGACCGGCGGGTTGGCGGGGGTGAGCCGGAAAATTGCCAGCTGAATAATTTCCAGAGTCGACTGCTGCCGGGAGTGTTTTTCGGAAGAACACGCAAGGCGAACATAACAAATAGCTAGGGGTTTTCAAAGGGGGTATACCCTGTAGTTACCCCTTCTAAAAAAAACTTTTATTGGGTCTCAACCTAAATTAAGTTAACTTAATTTTATATATTAAATTTGGTTATTTATTTTAAACAAAATGAATATTTTTCAGTAGTTATATTTAGCAAAATAAGAAGAAAGTTATAAAATTAAATCAAAATAAAGAAACTTTGTATAAATTATTTTATTTGACGCTTTATAAATTAATTTGCCATGAAAATTTTTAATAAGAAAATAGGTCCCATTAGATGCCTTTCAAATAGAAGTATGAGAAATATTAAAGAGGCTAATATAAACAGTATTTATAAGACAGTTTGATTAGTTTTGACTTTAAATATACTGACAATAAATCAAGGAGTATAAAATGTAGTACTATATAACATTTGATCGTACTTCTGAGTCGTAGAACTGGCAACCATAACACCATCGAACCAGAGACCCCCGCAGTTGGGTGGCGTTCGTTGGGGCTCGTCGCAGTTCGGTTCGCATCGGCTTCTATCTCGCTTAGTGGCTCGGTTCGATTGTTCGACTGGGTTCGCACGGACACAATGCCACTGAGTGTATATATACAGATTTACCCAGCGCTTCACGTGCCATTGCGCATGTGGGAACGCCGGGGGTTTTGGCTCTTGCACTTTTGCCCGGACAATCCGGCGGCTTTGTGCGATTTCTGAGCGCCTGGTTCATCGGCAGCGTGTTGCGTTCGTGTGTGACGTTCTGTGCGGACCTCGGACCGATTAAGTCGAGGCTCTAAGAAGGGAAAAGAGGGGGAGGCGGGTGCTCTAGGACCGGGAACAACAGCCGACACTCTAAGTGAGTCCTGTCTGTCCTGTGTGCTGGTAATTGCAGGACCCCAGCCTTGTTGTGCACACATTTGCTTAACTGGACTTGATTAGGTTTTCGAGGTTAGATACATTACGAATTATTCAGCGCACAGCAGGCGGCTCGACCGCCCACCCGAGGACTCCCCCCTCCCCACTCACCCTTCACCTTCCCCCTGGAATTGGATCTCTCAGCCGATCCAACCCCACTTGTTTGGGCTGCCGGCGAATGTTCGCTCGTGGTTCGGCCTGTGTGTGTTCATTGAATTATTTCAAGCATGCCGAGCATTTATAAGCACTGAAACAAAAATTATGGTAAAGGAGGGTACGCTTAATTTAATAATTGTATCTTAAAGAGGAAATCAAATATTTTGACTTAAGCGTTCAGTGAAAGAATAACTACAGTTTAAAGTAAGTAAGCCTTAAGTAATAATTGTTTTATTATAGATATAATTATAACAATAAACTACAATAATATTACAAAATTATAGTCAGTTAATACAAAATTTTATATACCTTTAGTCTTTGTTTTATATAATTATGTTCACTTTATTAATAAAATAAGAATATCTAAATTATTTTACCAAATAGAAAGCCGAATGTATAAGATTTGAGTTTTGATCAAGTATTAGAGAAAGTAAAATATATATATTAATTCGATCACAAATAACCTATTGTGTCCATTTAGCAAGAGCCCTTTCACCTTTAAAACTTTGGTAGGCAGCATCATGTCTTAAAAAATATAAAAACTTAAAACAAAATTAGCAACCCATGAAACAGGAAACCATATGGAAAGACACAACTTTTTCTATGTAAAACTTAATGAATTAATTTTTCACCTTACCATCAAAATACTCGCTTTTTGGATAACATATACCTAAAATATAATGCCCTTTGACTAACATCCCTTTAATTGAAATATTTGAATGTATATTTTTTGTGGTGTATAAATTATGGTATGTGTTGCTGGTCGGACTTCCTCGGCTGCTGCTTTTTTTGATTGTCTTGTAATTGCGTTAGGATGCGAACTTTGTTATCCTTGCCACGTAGCACATAATTGTAACCATTAATATTTTATTGGGTGGTGGTTGGTGTCTGACAGCCAGCGAAACGTTAATGCATTGTTGTGCCAAGCTATCTTTTCCCCCACCACCGAGGGTAAGTTTAATTAATCGACGACCGATGCTCGTATTGTTCCAGTCGCAGTCAAAATATTTGACTTGTAGATGCACCTCTAATTGAGTGCCCCCTCAAGAAGTTAGTGCCCGAAGTGAAAGTTGTTTTTGACCAACTGCCGTTGTTGTTTTGCCCCGTCTTGGGTTTGTTCTTTTGGGCGCAGCCCATCTGGCCGAATCTGCACGAAAATGATGTAAACCTAATTAAATTTCCAATAGAACAAACGACGCCCCTCGAACAGATTCGACTTGAGTTTTGGGCTTGGGCTTGGGGTTCGGGGTTCGGCGATGAGCAAAGAAGGAAGCAACTTTGAGGATGGCAACCAGATAATTGCCAGATTGCGTCATGCGAGTGACTTTCCTTTCTCCATTACCCCATATCCTCCGCAGTTCGGAAAGCTATCAACTTTAATGGGATGGCCAGGGGGGATTGGGGGCTTGGGCGGGACCAAATGGTTCTACATGGGACTTCCTGACCTGCGGGGCAAATTGACCAAGACAGATCAAAGAACTCCTCTTCAGAAACTTATTTCGGAAGCTGTCAATGGCTAATAGGAAAAAATATTTATTTTTGTCCATTTCAAAACTTTGGAAAACAAAATACATTTTTTTTTTTTTACAATTAATATAAGTTTATGAGTTTCATAATGTGTTATTTATTGTAGATTTTTAAATACATATCTTTATAAAGATGAATGATAGAACATTTATATAAATCCATACTTTCATTAAAACGCTTTTCAAATATTCTTGCAATATTCTTGTTCTTTATGAAGGCTTCCATACGTAACCCCTTTTAATCGAAATTGAGT